ACTCTCCCCCTTTGTCTACAACGTTACGACACACACACACACACACACACACACACACACACACACACACACACACACACACACACACACACACACACACACATGCACACATATACACACATCTCTTTTTTGTAAATCGCAATCGGAAAAAAAAACCTGAAATAATTGTCCTTGAAGAAGATGCGAAAATTGCCTTAATTATGACATGAAATAGCCGTTGTTCTCTTTTTTTTTCGTTCATTAAGCCTTAAAATTTTGTCGTAGTAATTTTAAATTTAAAAAGCACAAAAAGAAAGTTTAAACTTTTAGAATTGCATTTTTAGCATGCAATAAAATGCACGCTGTATTGCATTTTTAGCATGCAATAAAATGCACGCTGTATTGCATTTTATTTTCATCCAATAATGTCAATTCATTAATGTATGGAAAGATAAATTAATGACTTGTTTTCTCATTTCAGTTAAAAAAGTTCCAGTTTTTTCGCTTTTTTCTCTCTTTTTCCCTTCCCTCTCTCTCTCTCTCTCTCCTTCTCTTTATCATCAATGGCAATGAATATATGTTTGTAATGGTACATTCAATTATATGATGGTAAAAAGGTGCATTAGAAACAAATGGCGCAATTGTTCGAATCACTTGGTGAAATGGTTAGTTTAAATTTACTTAGTAAAATTAGTGGCTAATAATATTGGCTAACATTATTTGGCAATATTATCAAATTGATTGAGTGATAAAATTTTAATTTTTATTGTTATAAGTTTACTATTAAATTACTATTTCAAATTACTTTTTAATAACCTATTATTAAAAAAACACACTTTTTTAATTAATTACATATTCCATTATTAGATTGTAACATTGGGAATTAATTATTGGAATTAAAATTGAAAGTGTTCCTTAATAATGGAATTAAAGAAGTTGAATATTGAAATTGGTATTGTTTTTAATCGAATTACAAATTTTACATGTTGAAAGTTCGAATTATTTTTTATTTCTATTTGTATGGGAAGAGTAGAGATTTGAAAATTTTATTTTATCAAATAATTTAGCTACGAAAATTATAACTTGAAAAAGTTGAAAATAAAAATTTTGGAAAATAATTTTTAAAAGGAAATGAAACATCATGGAAAAAGATTTGAAAATTGAAAGTTTTATAAATAATAATAATAATAATAATAGTAGGAATGATAATATTTGTACCATAAAATACTTAGAAATTTCATATTTAACTTTTTAAATGTGAATTTGTGTTCATAAAACGATGAAATATCATATTTACTTTAAAATTTATTATGCAATAAATCTTGGGAATTTTCTTTTTCTTTTTATTTTAGAGATTTTTTTGGACAAATGAAACATCTATTTTAATGTGGCCATTCTAAAATTGAAATGAATAGGAAGTGAGGGGACAGGAGACAGTTTTTTTTTTTTTTTAATATCCAAATTTCAAATTAATACTATTAACAAAAAGTACAAATGGCGTTTTTATCTTTTACAATGGATCATTTCTCAACTATTTGTCAATTTTTATAATTTTGTTTTTGACTGAATTTTTTTTTAATTTTATTTTTCAAAATGGAATGTTTTCTTTTTCAAAAAGCTTTTTTTTTGATAATGAAAAAGGAGCATGTGCTAATTGATATATGCTAAATAACCATATGCTAATTAGTATATGCTAAACAAGCATATGCTAATTAAAATTTATTTTGCTAAAAGAATATAATTGACGTGTTACATTCGATAGATAATCATGCATGACAGCACAAACTGTTCGTTGAAATTGTAAACGAATAAATTATTCGATTTTTTTTCTTTCCATTTCTATGAAAGTACATTGATCGTTGGTATTTTGAAGGATTTATTTGTCGATGGTTTCAATCACTTTTGGGAAAATTGAAATCCATTTGATTTGAAAGAAAATTTTTCATTTTTCAAACTTTTACTAAAATCGGAAATGCTATTTGTAACATATCATGTTGATTTTATTAGTAATAAACTTTGACAATAAAAAGGTAGAAGTCGAATCATACCGGAAAAATACCTAGGAAGTTAAGCTATTAACAGTTGGCAAAACTCGGGAAATTGGGTTGTATTTGGAAAGACTCAGAAAGTTAAGTTGCATTTGGCAAGACTCGGGAAATTAGGTAATATTTGGGAAGACCCGGGAAGTTAATTTCACTTGAAAAGACGAAGAAGTTAGGTGGGAGGGAAAGATTTAAAAGGTTTTAAAGATTTTAAAGGGAAAGATTTAAAAATGCAATAATAATACAAAATGCAATTATAAGTACTGCTTTTTTTTTTGATAAATTCTGCAAAAAAATAAAAATCAGAAATTAAATCAAACATTGTAATTAATAAAATAAAAATAAAGAGGTGAAGAAATATTTCATATTTTATAATAATAGTTAAAAAAATAACATAATTTATTTTCGTTTTTTAATTAAAAAATGAAAAAAAAAGTGAATTTGCGATATGTTACATTTCAATGACATTCTATGAAATGTTGGTGAGTTAAATTATTCGAAAAAAAAAGAATAATAAAATTTCTGTTTCCTCAAATTATCATTTATCAAAATATTTAAAATGAATTACTTAAAATGAGCTAATTGCTTGCATCAATTCAATTTTTTACTCCTTACATCACCTATATATCATTATGAATAATAATAATTGGAAATGAATTACTTAAAATGAACTGCATTTAATGAATGACTCAACATTCAACATACATTTATGCAATATATATCGAACAATTTTGTTAATATTTGAAGTCTCCGATGTGTAATCAACCTATTTTTACAATATGTTACTCGACATTTTTCAGTATTTAATTTTTCCGGTTTTCCTTTTTTTCTATCTTACAATATGTGCACAACCAACACACAGACAGACAGACAGACAGACAGATGCACACACACACACACACACACACACACACATACAGTCAAATAGACATGTTACCAATAATCATAGTATCATATTGTCACCTAAAAAGTATGTCATAATTATGTAATCATGTAATAGTATTTCAATTTTTTCGTCATTCTTTTCATTTGACCTTTTTTCTTTTCTTTTTTTTTCTTTTTTGCATTAAAGAAAATGAGGTCAAATGTCAATGGAAAGCATCGAATCCATGAATTATGCATTATTACTTATATTATCTTTTAATAATTTACTCGTAAATATTGAATGGAATGTTAATTTATGTAAGTTATATTAAGTAAGTCATAATAAGTTAGATGTTGTATGAAAGTTATATTCCTTAATTATGTAATGATTATCTTATTATATATTAAATATGATAAGATGATAAGTAGCTTAAGATTTACCATTGATAATATATCGATTCATTATAAATGATCACTGTTTATGCTTCTTTTTTTTTTTTTAAATTATAATATTAATTTTTTTTTTGTGTTGACTTATTTTTTATATTTTCAAAATGATACAATCGTCCGTTTTTTTTAATTTTAATTAAATTTTAAAATGTAAAAGGAAAAAATTTCGAAATATTTAAAATATTTTACATATCAAAATATTAAAGAAGATAATTTTTCAATTTTATTTCTTTTTTTGCTACATTTTTCTCTTTCATTATATTTTCGGATTATTTTAAAATAAGTAACTTTTCAATGATTCATTTTACTTTTCTTTCTTCTTTTTTTTTGATAATTTCATGATAAATTAAAATTTTATTAAAAGAAAATATTAAAAATTTATCGATGTTGCATTTTATTTTAATTTACCATTTTACATTTGGGCAAATTTGAAAATTTAAATTATTTACTGTTCTATTTTTCCAATTTTGACAAATTAACAGAATGAATTCAGTA